TTAAAAATTAAGTTCACATACTGAAATAGTTCTGAAGTAGGATGATACTATATTACGATCAAATATCATGTGAATTTATAATTTCAACTTTGGGGAATGAAATTCTGCAATCAAAGCTCAGAAAGGCTGAATCTAAGCCTTTATTGGTTTTATATTCTATTCTTATTATATTCACTGGGAAGGGTGCAGCATATGTATGTATACTTACATAAGTTTGTTATGATTAATGCAAGTATTGGAAGTAATCCTCACTTTATCAAAACGGTAGGCAAACAATAGAAGGAGAGATGTGCAATTGGTTTCAATGAAAAACTAATTTGAATCTCAATAAATTCACAACTTAATAAGAAGAAGACTTGTCAAAATTTCAGGTGATCTAAGTTGCCATATTTTCCTTATGAAATAACATATTACAATTGGAACTACCTTCTACTAATTCCAGAGTGCTGAAGAGATTATATTAGAGTGTTTCTGAGTTGATATTCTGAAATTGGAACCAAATTACAATTGGTACATTATTTGATTAGAGGTAGTACATAATTACATATATAATTATATATAATATTCTATTTGATTATATTTAATTTGTAAGTTACTTATTATATAGGAAAAATTGATAGTAATAATCCCAACTATTGGCGGTCCACTCATAATAATCCCAACTATTAATTATTACAGATTAATCCCAACTTTAGGGACCTTCCGCCAATAATGGTCCATATGAATAAATTTTTGTAGTTTCTAAAGTGGATGAGATAAGATATAACAAGTAATAAATAGTTGGCGGTAATATATGGTCATGGACCATTATTGGCGGATAGTCTATATAGTTGGGATTATACAAAAATAATCAATAGTTGGGATTATTTTCAGCAGACCAGCAATAGTTGGGATTATTATTTTCAATTTTTCCTATTATATATCATAAGTGCACATTATTTACTGTATTATTCAATAAAAAATCTAAAATATTAATTTACTAAATAAACTGCTATAAAAATATGTTTATGAAACACAACAAAGAAGAACCTACATTTTCATAAAAAGATCTGCTATATACGAAGAAAATTAATATATATAAAATACATAGTACTTCCTCCGGTGATGGACAGTCTACCCGGGGGGTATCCTATCCGAGGGGTTATTGCGGGAACAACTAGAGAGAAGTCAGAGCAAAATAGGAGGAGAGAGAGTCGATTTTATTAAATGAACTCAGCGTGGTTTACAAGGCGAATAAGGGCTGCTATTTATAGCAGCAATAAATGCGATGAGAGTACACGTGTCAGTAATCCGACGGTCGAGGGGTCACATCAGCCGGGTGGCACCGGCAGTGGTACGTTCACCGCATTGAATGCGGTTGGCGGACGTGACGTGGCATTAAATGCGGTGGTTGGCTGTCTCCAAAAGGAATCTTCGATGATCGAGCATGTTTGGCCGAAGGCCCCTTGTGTAGCCGAGGGCTCCATGCGACCAAGGACCCCTGTGTGGCCGAAGGCCTTGTGTGACTGAGGGCTAGGTTCGGCCGAAGGCTTCTCTTATGCCGAGGGCTTGATAATGCCGAAGGCTCATGTTTTTCTCCGTTTTCTCCCAGTAGCTTCTTATGTCAGAGAAGGCTACCCTGTGAGTTTTGGATCCTTCGGCCAAGGAGGCCGAAGGCTACCCCAGTGTGTATTCTGGGCTACTTTGAGGCTTGGGCCGTTGCATTTGGGCCTGAGTTGTCCTCTGGGCTCAATGAACTTGTGAAGGAGAAATAGGAGTCTATGGTCCGGGGGCTCCTGGGCCATATACTCCATCATCCGGTTTTTAATAAACTTCACACTTTCCTTTTTGGGACGGTCTAAAATAAACTTCACACTTCCTTATTTACTTTTTTGGCAAAGAAATCTACATCAAAACAGTGTCAAATAGTGCCAAACAGTGTCTCAACAGTGTCAAACAGTGTCTCTACAGTGCCAAACAGTGTCAAACAGTGTCTCAACAGTGTACTCTACAGTAAAGTCAAATTTCTTTCCTTATTTTTTGTGAAGTCAAAGTGTAAAGATTAAATAAAACCGGAGGGAGTATAAGATTTATGTAATTATTTCGTATACTTTGAGTCCCACTAGGCCACTTCCCAGCGCCAAAAAAGAACAGTATGAGATAAGGTGGTACAAAAAGGAACACTTGTCCACTATTCTACTGCTAGAAGAAACGGAAATAACAAGTAGCTAAAAAAAAGCATCGGATTAACCCATAAAACCTGGGAGCGATGTCGGATGCTAGACTTCTTTCCCGCCAGGCTGCTGCGGGAGTGGTATGGGACGAAGGTTGATTTTACGAATGGTCAAGTAAGATTTGGGCTTTATTTTAGTTGTCTAAAACTTTGCTTCCGCGCTAAGGCGAACGCCTTATCGCCAAATGGACGACTAGATGACGACAGAAGGATGCCATAGTCGCCTATTCTTCTTCCGGCGTGGCGACGACTCTTGGCGACCCCTCCCCAGCGACTGGACGCCAAGGCAACGCCTAGACGACGCCGTAACAACCATGCTTAAAATGGAATTTTCTATTTTTTATTAATGTTATTCAAACTAACTAATAACATAGTAACTTGTTACTCTTCAAATCCTTAGATTCAATTCCTCAACAATTACAACAATCATTAACTAGTATTTCAATACTATTAAGATTATTCTTATCCATAATATATTTCATTTGTAAAACCCTACATATTTAGAGATATGTAGTAGCAACTTAATCATTCAATGTAATACATAGATAATCATCTATGTATCTACACAATTCACACATGAGTAAAATGCCTATTTCACACAATAGTTCATTTAACTCCATTTTTATCAATACTTTATCAAATTATTTCCCATTTCATTCCTTGAAAAGAAGATCAATATTCCATCAATAATTTATCATCATAATCCATGGAAAACATGATTTAGGCATTTAGGTAATCTTATGCTTAACCTACAAGTTGTAAGCAACTAGATGTCGATCCTCACCTCAATTGAGCTTTAAAACTTTCCTTCTCAATCCAATGACCAAAGCCTCGACCAAGGAAGCTTGAGAACTGATGCCTTGCTTAGAAATGAGTGTTAAACAGCCTCCTCAAAGTTCTAGTTCAACCCCTAAACGTTGGTACGAAAACAGCCCCTAGAATGGGTGTTTTCCGGCTAACTCGTTTCCTAGTTTTCCAAGATTTGCTCTAGGTTAGTATTTAACCTTTACATAAATAATAATAACTTTTTAAGGACCTATTACACACTTGGATTAGTGTATAATAGTTCCACCAATCGTTCATATCATTTGGAAAATGAAAGGAAAGGTTTTGGGGTTAACAACTCACTTTAGAAGAGTAAATCCGTTTCTGCGAGGTTGTGTTTTTCTCGGACTATTTGGAAGCCTTCCACTACTTCGATTGATGCAAACCAGACCTTCACGGATTCCTCGTCTTGAGATCTTTCTTTTGGTATCTCACACGCCTTAATTGGATTGGTATAACTCGAGATATCAACCAAACAGCCTCAGCACTCTCACAGCTCGAGTTTACAGACCACCGCTCACTCCAGCTCGATTTTTGTAAGATAACCCTCTCCCCTCGAATAGAGACCACTCAAATATGAAAATAGACTTCAAAGTCTATCCAAGGACACCTCATTCATCTTATTTGTCCGAGTATAACATCACTCATGGAGGGAGACAACCAGCACCATCCTTTTGTGCGAAAATAGACTAGGTGGGGTTCCCTCTTGTTTCCTTTGTCAAGTCCAGCCCCTAGAGTCAGCTATGGCAGTCTCCTAATATTATTTTTCTTGTCTTGCACGTGGAAAAGAAGGGATGGGGCGCAGCATGTTGTTCCCCAATTATTTTTGGGAGCAAAATATTAACCAATACATCCAAAAATGGAAGAATGGGTCCTATTGTTTTATCTTTTGTCAAAGATGTCTTTTTGTACTCATCCTAATTTATTTAGAACAAGTCAACTTCCTACATCTCATTATTGATCTCCAATATGTGTAGGCTCATCTCAATAATTTACTTGATGGATATTATAGAAGGAAAAATCTCACTTCCATTATTTAACTCAATAGTGTCAAAGATGGGATCATAGGCATTTGTATTCACCACAAATCATCTTATCACTTATTTCGACATTTTTCATCCATATTATTGGACTACCAGCCGTGTGGGTCACCCCGAGTGGGCCTACGACGCCATTCTCGAATACTTGCTATTTTAGCGGGTTGAGCCCAAAATAATGTCTGGGCCGCCGCCCTTCCTCAACTTGTCTTGAAACGTTATGTATCACTATTTACATAATGTTAGGCTCTTTTATCTATTAATAAGGCCCAAACGAGTATTCGCAAGCCCGACACTAATATACGAGTTCGAACAGTATAATAATCGATCATTAATTACGTAAAACATCAATCATTTACAATTGTTTGGGAATCAGAAATTCAATACATAAACTTTCAATTTTTAAATTGAATTTCCAAGGACGTTCGGGTGCGGTGTCACATTTATGTTAGCTCATTTTTATATATCATTGTTTAGACACTCATTTGAATTCAATAAAAGTTATGTTTCTGGTTTACTTGTTATCTATTTTGATTGTGATCACATATAATTATTTGTGGTGATAACAAGTGTTGAGGATTTAAGCATCCCTCAAATTTAAGATTTGAGACATTCAGATTTCTCAAATGTTTCGGATGAATTAGAATTGTCTTGTGATACATGGATGGAAGCATGTCAGTATAAATGATGTGTAACCGCCATGATCCATTCAATTTGAAATTCAGTTAAGTTTTCTTGGTGAGTTTGGTTTGATGAATATTGCGCAATTTAAGTTTTCATCAATTCATCAATGATCACATGACCAAGTGGGAGAATGTTAGAATATTTATTTAATTATTAATATTCTAATATTGGTCATGTATTTGGGGTTATATGTTATTAATAGAGTTCGTATAGTCCTAGACATTTAATTGGTTTAATGATAGACTGAACCTATGTTTAAGTCTGTCTAGGACTAGGGTTCCCCAACACTCTCCTCTGCCTCTATATATACGCTTATTCCCTATGGAATAACAGCACAATATTAGTGAGAGATCTCTACCTGTCAAGAATCTCATAAGGAAAGAGGCCAGAGAGGATAAGGGATTTATTCCAGTTCATTCATCTATCATGGATCCAGGTATTCCTAAATCTCAGATCTATCAGTATATGTTTATGTATAAATTATATGATGCCGATCTTGGAATTTAATCTAACATTATAAACTGATCTTTCCAGCTTGTTGGTTGAAATTTGTGTACTGAGATAATGAGATCTTCTATATCGATCAATATGACAATATCTCATACTCTTTCTAAAGGGGTGGAGTCATTACGTTGAGCCTCATAACAAACCCCATTGCATAAAGGGAATTTGATGAAAAGTGATGAAAACCGTCTATTAGATGTGCTTTGTATTTATAAACAAATATCACATACTTAAGCATAATGTAATTTGAACAGACACCGTTATTTATATTAGAAATTGTATGTAAATGTATCTCAGTTTAGACGTATCAATACCTTTTGGGAGCTTTGGAAGGTCAATAGATTTTCTCTTATGTAGGTACTAGTTTTCCAGCGCGCGATGCGCGTTCGTGTAAATGTCCAAGGCTATTGCACGCATATCAATTTATGGGGGAAAGTAGGGTGAATATATGACTAATAAGAATAAACTACTTCAACATAGAAAAAGAACATATTTCTAGAAAAAGTAAATATAAATGTTTCCATTTTGTCAAATCGATTATTACAATCATTGTATGGATTCTTGATAATATTTTCTATAGGGGGCGAAAAGGGTTCATATGATTCCAACTTTGTATGCTTGTCATTCGTTATGTTCAATTAGAAAGAAATGAATAAAGAATATCTTGGATAGAGATTTGTAGCATAATTCAAATAAGTACAGATTGAGATCGTAGAACATAAGCTCGTGAAATGACCCAAGCCTAGGAAGGATTAAAGTAAATACAACAAGAGTGGCGGTCAGGCAACATAGGACTTCCCCAAGGATTAAAGTAAATACAACGAGAGTGACGGTCAGGTAACATAGGCCTAGGATGGATGGCGAGGAACAATAAGGGGCTTGGCCGGCGTTGCTTTTAACCGACTTGGAAAATGCCAACCAAGAGAGGTAGAGGCGTTATCCATAAGACTGGTCAGTGCAAGAATCTATATCTATATAATATAATAAAGCAATCCCTTGGAAATCATTGAAGGAATTTTTGACATGTGGACATACTCTTTATTGGAAATTGTGACATGTGTCAACATTACAATAAATATCTTATTCCCAAGTCTCTTTTTTTTTTCTTATTCCCAAGTCTCTAAACACATGTGTACATGACACGCAATCTATGTAGAACACAATTTAAATAGAATGGTAAAATACACGTAGGGATTACTTTTAAATTACTCTCTTCGTCCCTTAAAATTTGACCAAGTTTGACTAGCACGAGAATTTAAAAAATAAAAATTGTGTATTGTTATTTATACCGATGAGAGGGAATTAACTAGAATCACGAATTCTTTACTTAAAAAGAGGAGTGACAATATTAGTGGGACAATCAGAAAAGAAAAGTTGACCAAGTTTTAAGGGAAAACTTTAAAAGGGTAACATTTGGTGGGAAAATTCTTTACCTCGAAGGGAGTATCATTTAAAATTATCAACAATATTCATAACTAGCATTTAAAAGGGTAAATGAAAACCTATTTAACTTCCCAACTTTACATGCACATATATAAAGGAAACCTATTCAACTTCAACTTATAACGGTTTATAATGTATAGTCACTACCATTTCATTACTTTTACATCGCACACACTTTTATGTTTGCGATGTAAATGATACTACATCCGTTCTTTTTCAATTGCAATAGTTTGAGTTTCATGCTATCAGCATATAACTTTGACTGTAATTATATTTAAGTGTATATGAATAGATTTTATAAAAATTTAATATTGTGGAAGTTCACATTAAAAGAAATTTAATAATATTTGACATATAATAATTTGATTATATATTTCTAGAAAATCGATCATGATCAAAGTAAAGTGTGTGAATAGTGTAAAATTCAAAGTGTTGCAATTATTAAAGAAAGAAGGAAGACATGCTAACAAACTTGCTAAGAATTTTTCCAATTGGAAATGAAAATTTACAAATTGATCAAATAATTGTAAGTCGGGTTTGGTTTGTTTAATTCTGATCTAATTAGGTATAATTATGTTCGATGAGGTCTTTTTAATTTTGATCGAGACGAGACTAAAGAAACTTTAAATGAAAACATCTTAATCGTTTTAAAAGATGTAGAACATACACAGTTCCAAAACACACAAATATAGTTTTTGACAACCTTACTAACTTTTACATTCATTTCTAGCTATTGCTGTTGAAATTGTAACAACAATTCGTAGTTTTTCAACAAAAAACCTACATAACAGGTCAAAGTATGTGTACTCATATGATATACTTTCTCTGTCTCCTTATAATTGTCTCATTTTTTCATTTTTGGATGTTCCCCTATTATTGTCTCATACCATTTTTGGTAACATTTGTGTGACTCTAATTCGTTCTCGCTTTATCAACTCATTATCAATCACATATTTCTACTTTTCTTAAACATCACACCACTTCTTTCCGTCTCAATATTAGGGGGGCGGAGGTGGTACTTTTTTAGTATTTAATCTTAAGTGATAATTCAAAAGTAATAGAAGAAAATGCTCCTAAATTTTCCTAATAAATAATGATAAAATTAAAACACTATATTTTTTATAACCTTTTAGAACAAAGTTTTACATCATTCGGTCGTTTCTTCCTCACTCTTTTATATGTTATTTATGTTCCTTTTCAAATTATGATTATTATGTAGTATTACCCACTTACCGTACAACAGTCAACTAACACGCATCCATATTCTTTTAAACAATTATTTTAAGTATTTTCATATTTGTATTTTCAATTCTATAAACTTATTGTTTCTCAAAAACTAAAATTCTATAAACTTACAATCTATAACGTATATCATGATAACACAAACTAAAATATTGGATCCGGATATGGGATTGAGTCAATATTTTCCCTTTCTTTTTCTTCAAAATATACTTTTCATTTCTTGAAAAAAAATAACCATGATCTTCTATTACCGTGCGACGCACGGGTACACATACTAGTTATAAATAAAGGACAAAGATCATGTATGAAATAGAAAAGATAATTCATACATAGCATAGTCCAAGCGAACTCACTTAAAATGTTTAATGAACTATAATTGGTCATCATATTAACAAATAAATGTGATTCTTCACGACAAAGTTGACCCAACAGACACATGTACTATAGTTAATCTAATCAGGGGTGTTAGATCGAGTATACAATGTTCAAAAGGGTCAAATTTTAACATATTTAGTCATTCAAAGTTTAAATATGTCTTCTGGTTTATAATTTCTTATTAATTATTTGTGGAATGTGATTGAGGGAGCTTCACAAAAGAAAGAGACATATGCCACATACAATGTTCAGATAGGGTCAAATATTGACATATTTTGTCATTCAAGTTTATGTATGTCTTTTGATTTGTAATTGCCTGTTAATTATTTGTGGAATGTGATTGATGGAGCTTCACAAAAGAAAGAGGCTTGTTATTTTGTAAAACGAAGATGTTATAAAAACATATTCTTTTTATAAAACAAAAAGTCTCTAGATTTTATTTTAGTGGTTATTGATTAACATCTACATGTAGCCGTTTAATTAGAATGTTTTTTACTTATCCTGTTGTTTTCAATCAACATCAGATAAAGTCTCTGGAGATTATTTTAGTGGTTATTGATTAACATCCATTTGGGAAAAGGTGAAAAGTATCACACATTTCTTATTTCTCAGTTTCACTCTCACGTACCATAAATCAAATTGTGAAATGTAAAATTCGAGCCTTCAACCGAAGCTACTTCACATTTCTAATTTCACATTTTCGCTTCTATTTGATTCAAGTATAAACTTTCATAGGGAGGCATATATGGATTGTTGAAGAGGAAGGATAAAGGGAGGAACACAAGTTGAATAATAAAAATTTATACACAATAGTATAATCTGATAAGGATGACAGCTTTACCTTCCAAGCGGAATAGGCTTAGCTTAAAACCATGAACAATTTTTCCAACCTAAACATTGAAGTGGAACAAAATAAGCAATATGTTAGAGCTATGTGACTCAAAAATACAAAATTAGAATTAACTGCACGTATAATTTTGAATAACATACCCTCTTCCACTTTGCATTTAGAGAAACAAATGATGAACAAAAAGAACACAAATTTCAAAAGTAATCGAGACAAAATATCTAATTTTTATTCTCTTGAATTCAGCGGGTGAAGGATCCAAACACTTACATTGATAAATTAATTGATCGACGGAGTATATGGACTCGAACCCCCGGTTTCATGAATATTAGGCCCGAACAGCGGATTAGTTGTAGATAGGATTTCTATTATTGTACATTATTATTATTTGGGCGTTTTAGATTAACTTTTTATATCATCAATCATTTTATATAACCCGGGTTTTCCTATATATATACCATCCATTGTAAACCTTAATTCACATTCAATATTCACATTTTAATACACTATTCACCATCTTCTTCCTTCTCTTGAATCAATCTCTACCTAATACTCCTTCGGTCCCTCTAACTTTGTCTCGTTCTACCTTTTTCGTCCGTCCCATTAAGTTTGTCTCATACCATATTTGGTAATATTTGGGTGGTTACAATTCATTATTACTTTTTTCACACTTTATCAATTCCATATAATATAATAAAGCAAACCCTTGGTGAAACACTTTACGGAATTGTTAACATGTGGCAACACACTTTAAAGTAAAAATTGACATGTGGCACCATATAAAAAATTAATTCCCAACTCTAATATGTTCGTCTATAGCCGTTATATGGACTATTTAAATTTGGCATAGCATATTAATTAATCTGGTAGAACTTACAATTCTCTATCTACACTTGTATAAGCATGAATATTGTTAGAGGTATAATAGTCATGAGAAAAATGTTGGTTGCTCTTCTGTGCATTGTAGAGTTGTACCCGATGCTTATTCAATGCATACTTGGACTGGTCAAGCACAATAAAACATGACGGAGTCACTTAACTTCTTGTTCCGTTTAGAAACCAGAGTATGTAATACTACCGATTATTAAACATTTAAATCTTTCCCCTCTCAATCTAATTCTCACTTGATCGTCTTCTTCCTGTCCCTTGCGCCGCTGCTGTTTGGGATGAGCAAGCACGGTCAGCTTCAAGGACATTTCAGCCGCTCAAGCCCATATGATCCTCGGTCATGTCAGGCCTTCGCCCACAGTGGTTCTGGAGTAAAAAATTGGCCGCTGTTGAGAACCACCGTGAAGGCCCTTCGGCAGTTGATGCGGTTGGAGATGGAGAAGAGTGGGACCCTCGACTTTATCCTTCAACGAGTGACGATGGATGCTCTGCCATTGTTTATCGAAGAGAGGTATTCTCAGCGAGGACACTTGCTACTGGCGAAATAGTGGATCGAGCTTCGGATGGTCTCTGTTGGCGGGCGGTCAGCTGAGTCCCACTCCGAGTTTGGCAAGGGCCACTACGGCTGCGAAGGCTATAAGCCGGAGCAACGACATCTACGAGATTTGCAGCTATGGCGGCAATATCTGGGAGGCGGCAGGAGGTCTAAAGTCGGTGGTTACTCTTCCGGCTTGGATCTGGATATTTTTCAAATCCAAAATTCTAGCTTTTCCTTTTCTTCTGAAATTGCCGAAACATTTTTATTTTGATTTTTCTGATTGGGATGAATTTTTTAATGTTTTAGGAGGGAATGATAGCTTATGGGATCCAATCTATGTAATACTACCTCCATCACACTATGTTTGGATAAAGGGGTGTGACACAACTTTTTGGGGCGGATGGAGTATAAAAGATCCTAAATTTTAATCTAGATTAGTAATAGTAATCGAAAAAGTTACGGTGACCATTTAATTGTCAAAATAGGTTTTTCACGTCATTTAAGATAATGGTATAGTTTTACTTTACACTTTAGAAAAAGTATGAGGTTTTTGGTATTGTAGCAGTACATTATACTTTAGAAATGTGGCAATTAATTTGACACAGCGCGACAAGGAATATGAGACCAGTAAAGTGATAAGAAGGGAGTATTAATTAATTCCACAATAAAATACTGTCATATTATATACGTTTTGAAGGATCGCAAGAGTCCTGTAGAGGATCATTAGAAACCTATGTAAAATATGGAGGGTATAAATTATAAAAGACTATTGATTTTCTCTTGGTCATGAAGATTCTACCTATGATACGTATTGTTATGAAAGTTTCGTATCGTCCTTATCATAGATCAGGATTGAGGTTTGAGATTGTGAAGTTATTACATATATTACTACTTGTCTTGTTATAAACTTCTTGAGACTCTACCTATAATTTTACTATTATGGTTATAAACGGATTACCCTAAAGATTCACGATTTAATTTTTCTTTATTTAACAGGTGTATATAGACCCTGTGAGTGGATATGTATTTTTTTCCAAAAAGGATGTTATGCGGTATGTAGAAACCGGTGATCAGGGGCGGATCCAGGAATGAGGGGTGGGGTGGGCTAAGCAATAAAAAGTTACTGCATACAAAAGGTTTAGCTTAGGACTGATAGTTATTGAACTGAGTTTTTTTTCGAACTACTCGAGTTCGATCGTGATTTCGAATTTAATTTAATGACTAAATCTTAACGAGCTTCAATCTCGAACACGGGCTAAATTTTAGTTTAAATAGTTTGTTTTTACACACAAAAAAGCGGCCGTTATTTTTTTGAGTTTGAATAGTTATTCATGCTGAATTCGAGCATAGTCATGTTCAGTTCGATCTGGACTCGAGCATATTGATAACTTATAAAGTATAGAAATAAACTATATACTACCTCCACCCACTTTTATTAAGACTAGCCCACTTTTATAAAGACTAATTTGACTTTTCAAGTCAAAGAAGTTAAACTTTCAATGACTATATATTTATACAATAAAATTGATAATATGAAAATGAAATGGAAATGTTCTTTGTTAAAAAGTTTATCATAAAAGTATAAATTTAGTAAGTTTCACATTAATACATGAGTTAAAATGATGGATCAAAGTTTACCATCTTTGACTAAAGAGTCAAAGATGGCTAAATAAAACGAGATGGAGGTAGTACATCTAAAATTTAAACGTTTTTAGTGTGATTTATAATTTTATTATTGATTATTAAAGATTTTAGTATTTATTGATATGAATTAAAATACTTCTATAAAAGTATAAAACTAATAAGTAAAAATAGTCGATATACATAAAACTAAAAAGTATTCCCAATTTTAAAATTGAATTGAGATTTTGAATCCATTCTTACATGCCTAAACAGTAAGTACATCGTTCTCTATTCTTTAATTGCATAATAAATAAATCATTTTCTAATCTTTAATTCTATCTTTAATCATTATAAATTTATAATAAAATAAAAACTATTTTAGTATCTACTGAAAATATTCAGTTAATAATCAAATAGAATTACAAACTTGGTAGGCTTGAGCTGGGCTAGACATTAATTTTGAGGTGGGCTGGAAATTAAACCTATACCTATAATAATAAAAATAAATTGGGTTGGGCTGGGCTGGAGCCCACCCCTGCCCCAACATAGATCCGCCCATGATACCATTACATTAAATTAAAAAGACTTTGCACCAGAAAGGGTTCATACCAGAAAGATTTATGAGAATTTGAAACACAAGCCATTAGATTAGATGCTCCGTCAAAATAGATTTTGGAAAGTGTTTTAAACCACAGACTCACAGAATTGTACTACTGACCAAATAATTTGACTTTTCATACTTCATACCATTGCATTTTTGTGTGTCTATTTTTCATGTTTCACTTAATCCAGACCGTTTAGCTAGTTCCATCATTTGCAATGGAGCCAAAACATTCATTATTTTTTGGCTTGAGAATATGATGGAATAAAGCAAAATGGCTCACTAAATTGTCTGCGCTTTTTTGTTATGAAGCAGCAGTCAGTCCGTGCAATTTTGGACGCAATTTTCACTATGGGTCATCCGGAAACACTCTCTCTGTGCTTTAGTACAGGGGTAAGACTGCGTACATCCGACCCCCTTACCCCACCGTAGATGGGAGCATTTGCGGCACTGAGGTAAATGAAAATGAAATGACTTAATCCAGACCGTTTAGCTCTAGACTAAACTGCTAAAGTTGACATTACAAGATATAACAGAGCATAAATCATGAAAAGGGAAAAAGAGATTAAGAGTGTGATTGTGATACTCAAAAACAACAGAGGCAAGGGAATGAGAGAAGGAGATGGTTATAATGCATACAACGTGAGGAAGCATGCAGATTTTCCCAAAATCTCCTAAAACATAACTATAGTTACCGGAGGCATAAGGCCTGGAGTATGAGTCTCTCCACCATCTGATATTTGGATTAATGAGGAAAGAGATGACCAAAGTTCACTACCCGGGAGAAGACGGAAAACAACATAAAGGATGACAATAGAGAGGGAGATGGAACGGATGGAACTGCAGACGAAAACAAAACAGGAAGTTAAGTCCCACTTCGTAGAGTACACACTGCAAAACATAGTGTATCACTCAATTAAGCTACATATTAAACCAACATTTTTTTCATTGCTAAGATACCCTAACTCTCATTGGCTATTACGTAGTATAAAATTTTAAGATTAAGACTTGAAATCTTAGTATCAAATATGATATAAACATGTAACCATAGCGCCTAATTTGATATTTATTCCCATTTCGAAATACCACTGTCCTTTTCTAAAACATTTCATGACATTACTAGTATAGTTAATATCCTAATATTAAATTAGGAATTTTTTGTATCTTTGGAAACATATATTAGTATAAATATATCTGTCAGGTACTCTATTGGGGAACCTTTTCCATTATTTCACATGGTATCAAGAGCCTAAAAATTTTCTCTATCTCTTTCCTCCAAACCCTCGATTTTTTTTCTCTCCTACGCCATGTCTTCGGCCGCAGGTTCTGGTGTCGAGAATCTGCACTCCTCTTCCGCCGAGTTTACTTCTTCATCCATGGAAGCCTTCACCACTGCTTCATCTTCCTCAACTACGGCGCCGGTTTCCGCTACATTCACCGACGCAGCCGTAGTCATCACCAGCGCCCCGGTCAACATGACCCGGCCGCAGCAGGTGCTTACCTCTCAGTCGGGATTGGTCGTGACCTCTGCATCTTCTTCACTCGACCCTGGCACGTTCTCCCTGTTTCAGAACACTCCTTTGATGTATCCAAGCCAGCCACCAGTCATACCATCAATTCCAGGCAGCCCCTTCTCAACTCCTGCTTTTGCTGCCGCCCAATTACCCAACTCAAGTCCGGGGTATTTTGACTCGACGTTTTCAGGAGCCCCTGGTCTGTCTCGGCCGACTGCTCAATCTCTCTTCTAGTCCCCGATGGCAGCGGTTGCACAATCAATCTCTCCGGCCAACAATGTTACTCAAATTGTTACAATCAAACTCAAGGCGGTGGAAGACTACATCACATGGCGTACTCAATTTGAATCTTTCCTGGTCTCTCAAGGTGTGTTTAGCTTCTTGGATGGTTCCACACAGGTACCTCCGATGTACACGGTTGATTTTAATAATCGCCAAATCATTAATACTGATTATTATCATTGGTTACGGGTTGATCAAACAATTCGTTCTTGGATTTTTGCTACTCTTACCCGTGATGTATTAATTGATGTACATGAACTTAAACATTCTTGTGAGATTTGGGAAAGATTGCAAAATCGATTCCGATCTGCTAGTCTGGCTAGGTCTATGACCCTTAGACGTTTTGTTGTCTAATATGAAAAAGAAGGAAAATCAGTCCATGGAAAATTATTTAAAGGAAATTCATTTATTAGTTGGTGAACTGGCTGCAATTAATTCTCCTGTGTCCCATAAAGAAGTCCTTCAGACCACCCTTATGGGGCTCGGGCCAGAGTATGAATCCACCATGGGCACTATTTCTCTTTTTCCTGATCAATTTCCACCGAATATTCTTCATCGGAGTTTGTTAGAGGCTGAACAGAGGGTTCTTTATCTTCGTCAACAAAACGCCCCCCCTGCTTACCAAGCCTTTGGCGTTCAAGAAAGAGGTGTCGCACCCCGTGGTGGCCGCGGTGGCCGCGGGCGAGGAGGCCGTGGCAGGGTAGGCCGCGGCAGAGGGGCAGCAGCAGGCCGCGGACCAACCCAGTACAACCAACAGCAGCAGGCCTTCGGCCACGGCCAGCAGAACTTCGGCCAGGGGCAGCAGCAGGGCTTCGGCCAGGGTCCACAGCAGCAGCATGCATTCGGGCAGCCTGGGGAGCAACATCAGCAACTGAGACCCCCGAATGCAGGTGCTATAAGTAATTCAGTTTTGTCCACTTTAAATACTAATGCTATATTATATTGTGGTACTAATGTTAAATCTGCAGGCTCATCATCAACTGAGGGAATTCTTGGGGCAATTCCTCCACCAGTTGTGTGTCAAATTTGTTTCTCTGCAGGTCATCCTGCAATCAGCTGTCCGTCTCGTTTTGCTCCACCCACTGCACATGTTCTTCTCACCGGTCAAGCTAATGAAGCTCTGTGGTATCCAGATATTGGTGCCTCTGCTCATATGACTTCCTCTGAAGGTATTTTGACAAATAAATCTACTTATTCTGGTCCAACTATTGTTAGTGTTGCTAATGGTGCTCAACTCCCTATTAAACATGTTGGTGATATTTCATTAAATTCCTCTGGCCGCCCACTGCTATTGAAATCTGTTTATCATGTGCCTAATATTAAATTCAATTTAATTTCAATTCAAAAATTGTGTGCTGATAACAACTGTGTTGCTATTTTTGACAAAAATTCCTTTTTTGTTAAGGACAAAATTTCGGGGGCGGTTCTTCTTCGGGCAACAACTAATGGTCATCTCTATCCTCTCAGCCTGAGTCCACCGTCTACTTTAGCTTTATCTTCAGTTCTGACCACTGGCCCTGTGTGCCATCGTAGATTAGGTCATTGTGGTAAAAATATTTTACGTATTTTAAGTGGTCAAAAACGCATATGTAATAGCTCTAGTTTTTCTCATGATTGTATTTCTTGTCGGTTAGGCAAGTCCCAACGATTACCTTTTTCAAATGCTATTCATACTTCTTCCTATCCATTGCAATTAATTCATTCCGATGTGTGGCAGTCTCCTG